TTGACAATTGTCAACTTAAATATTACAGGATGCCTAATGAACCATTAATACATGTCTTCTTCATTTGCAACTTATAAATGATCATTAGTCTGGGATGAATCTCCTCTGGATATTGTTGCTGCAGAATAATAAAAGAGAATGCAGAATAATATTGGTTAGATTAAGCAAGACAATCAATATATATCTTATTAAATATAAGTGGAAGAAGGAATTTAGGAAAAAAAACAAATTAATATACATTGTAGTCCTGGATTTACCTTTTGAACTGATTATGACTTTTATTACTGCAGTTAGAGAGACTAGAAATACAAAGCATTTGCATTAAATATCACTTACAAAAATGCTCCCCCCCCCCCCCCCCCGAGCTTGGAAGACACATATAAACAAGTTGCATAACACCAAATTAAGAAAGGCCAAAGCATATTTATGAATTAACAAGTGGGATGGTGGCTTGTAGAGGTAGGAATGGCATCATTGACAGACACAGCAAGCATTTCTGAACGTACAAGTCTGTAAAACTTCACAGAAATCTTGAGTGAAAAAACACAAATAGAAATCGATAGGCTCTGGGCAAGAAATCCAGCCTTCACGATGAATGCTTAGCATTAGCCCAGCTTCCCTTCTTCTCAGCTACAGAAGCATCCCTGAGCTTCTTTCCATATTTCTCCCTTTCCCTTTTTTTTCTCCAGTTACCTCTCTCCTCTATTTCCTGTTCTGTCACCATCTGTTATAACTGCACTCTTTTGCACACCCCCTCATGTCTCCTTTTTCCTTCTTACACCCCCTCATTTCCCCTCTTCCTCCTCCCCCCACGCTATTTCCTTCTATCATAATCCCTCTGTCTCTCCGCCGATCTCTCTCTCTCTCTCTCTCTCTCTCTCTCTCTCTCTCTCCCTCTCTCTCTGTCTCTCTCTCTCCTTTTCCTCCTAGCCCTGTACCTCCTCCTGCCTGCTCCCTCTAAATCGATGCCGATTGGCTGGTGGCACCCTTCCCAGGCGCAACTGACATACATCTTGATCTGCCTAACCCTGTGAGACAAGCAGCCCCCCTCCACCCACCCTCTCACTTCATTCAGCAGAAGGAAAGCCAGGCTGGGCTCCACTCATTAGATGCTAGAAGACAGCCTTCTTACCTGCAGTGGCCACGGAAGACCAGGTGGGAGAGTATTAAAGGCAGGCAGGCAGGCCGATGGGGGAGCAAAGGGGCCAGGAGAAGGCATGTCACCCCAGGAGGAGCAGCCAAAGATAACCAGGTGCCTGAAAGGGAGAAGGAAAGTCAAGGAGATGTAAAAGACTGTGGATTCAGGCATTCATTTTCTATTTTTCTTATTTAAAAGAAAGAGGAAGAAATAAGAAGATGAAATATCATCCTGGGAAGTGAAGGCACATATCCATTTGTTGAATCTGTGAGTATCGGGCACAGCCTCCTGTCCCTGGCTGTTCCTTCACATTCAATTGCATGCAAAAGTTTACTTTGACAGCCTGGGCAATTGATGCCCTCTCCTCCATGCCCCTCCCTCTTCCATCCCCTGCAGATAAGTAGGGTTTTTACTTTTGGGTTTTCTTCCTAACATGCATTAGCTTTGAGCTAGGGAGGAAAGAGGGCATGGTGAGATGAGCTGCTGGGGCACTGCTGTCTGATCAAGTTGACTCTTTTGTCATTGGCTTATGTTCTCCCAGATCTGTCAGCTACAGCTACCTGTTGTCATTCATTTAACACTGTAATGCAATTGGCAACTATCTGCTCCAGAAAAGTTCCTTGTCTTTTTAAAGGGGTTTTCCCTGAATAACTGGAATGTAGATTGCAATCTTGGAATTGTAAAAACCTTTAGGACAGAAGCTTGATCTACAGAGTAGCCTGGTGGGGGTGGGGGGATTGGTTTAGGTGGGATATGACAATTTTATTTGTTTGTTTGTTTGTCAGTTTTATATCCTACCTATTTCTTCAGACTCATGACAGTTTACCAATTGGTACCCCCGATATAAATTATGGGCAGTGTGGAGGTAGTCCACACTATTTGCATGATGACATGCAAATTTCAGAAATGGGTTTCAAATCTTTTTAGATAAGGTTCCTCTGAGGAAGGTAACAAGAGAGCCAGTTTGGTGTAGTGGTTAAAGGCACCAGACTAGAAACCAGGAGACTGTGAGTTCTAGTTCTGCGTTAGGCATGGAGCCAGATGGGTGACCTTGGGCCAGTCACTCTCTCTGAGCCCTAAGAAAGAAGCCGATGGTAAGCCACTTCTGAAACTGATGCCAAGAAAACTGTAGGGACTTGTCCAGGCAGTTACTAGGAGTCAAGACTGACTCAAAGGCACCAAAAAAAAAAAAGGGGGGGGGGGGGGGAAGTTAATAAATATCCATTGCCATATCAAACACACTTATACAGCATGTATCTACTGAAATTTTTCAAAATTGTTGACTCTGTTCAGAGACTGATATGGATGGAAATTCTTAGGTTTTCTTTTTTCAGCTGCAGTGCTAGGTAATTAGAGAGAAATTTCTTTATTCCAAAAGTCAATGACAGTATTTTCTCCACTGGAGAGGATAGCGTTCTCACACGCAGAAGTTCAGCCTTCTGCTCTTGTTTATTTTTCTATTATGTAAAAATATAGCAAAAGTGTGTTGAGGTTCCAAAAGAGTGCCTGATATTTTTTTAAGAAACTGATACACAAAATGGAGCCCAATAATTGTACACATAATCATTTACAAAGAACATGGACAGCTGAAGCATCTGTAGCAAGTAGCCAGAGTGGTGTTGCAACTCATACACTCATAATTTACTCTCCCCAAAAGCTCCCCAAAATCATGTTTATCTATGTGGTTACTAGGAGTCAAAAATGACTTGATGGCACATAATCGATCAGTCAAAAGCTTATAGGTCTGTCTGCACAGACAGACAAATACCTTATCATGGGTTAGTTCTGGTTGAAGAGCTCTATAAACATACCTGATTTTCACCATTTTGGAATTTTTCATATGTCGACTTGCGGGAGAGGGCAAGATAAAGGTCTGGTTATTACTGATTTGTACCTTGGGATCCAAATGTCTTTCTTTAAGGCCATGCTTTATTTCTGAGACATTGCATGTTCCTAGCAATTAAGCAGTCATTGTTTTTCTCTGGAAAAAAAGATTTTTTTTCCTACTTTTGGTACAGCTTGAGGCAGTTAGAGATGTTCCCTAAGATATGGCTGAAAATGTGCTTAGTGTTTCTCTAATGATCAGCCACACTGCTGGATTTTCAGGGTTTACTTTCAAAAAGACACTGCTATTTGTGCACTCCTCAGCCTATACTAGTTTAGACCGTGCTTTTCTGCATAACATTCCCATTTCCAAGCTAGGTTTCCAGCTCCATATCTAGCACTTTGGAAAATATCTTTAAGATACCTCTCCCAGAAAGCTCCGTACTTAAATCTGTGTGTTAAATCTCAACTCTAGCACTTATACCCGTGTTTTGAACTGCTGTCACCACTTACAAGTTCTTCTTCCTAATGTTTCCCAACAGATACTTCCCATTAAAATCAACAGAGATAAAATACAATTAAAATCAATACAGATTCAGAAAATAAAATGCTTTCTTCAATAAGTATGACAACAAGCCATCTTCTATTACTGAGAGTAACTACATTAAAGCTGCATAATCTGAGACCTAAGGGTACATGCAGCCATTTAAAGTTTGGGAACAGGTGGCTCCCAGATCCTTTTTAAAAGCTGTACCCCCCAAAAAAGCTGAGGATTGAATGTAGCATCATCTGTATGCATAACAGTGCTCTGACAATGTGTCATTGGGCTTCCCCTCAAGGTAAGCTTATGAGAAAACCCCTATAATTGCTACTTCTTAATGCTTTGGTTCAAAAACCATGATTTCCATTTCCTAATGGAAGTTTGTAAGAGTTTCCAGGTTAAAAAATTGGCTAACCATGGTTAGGAATACCAAATCTTCAGTTATATATATTCATCTTCCTATAAGTTCCAAAATGAGAAATAACAACAGAAACAGATACAACTACTGTCTGAATGTATAAGAGTTTTAAGTTACAGATGAGTGGGAAGAGGGAATGTCCTACAGGCTATCTAGATAGTTAAGGGAAACCTGCAACTATCATTCCATACCTTCAGAGTTAGCTGCATTGCCCTAGAATAATCCATCCTTGCAGACACCAGATTCACTTTTGCATGAAGGAGGTAGCAAAGAATAAATTAACTCAATATAAGTCCAGTACTTAAGTCAACAAAATTCAGTGAATGATGACCATTCAAAAAGAAAAAGCAAGTTTTTAATTGTGAGCCACCTAGAGTCACCCCCTGGGGGAGATGGGCAGCTTATAAATTTAATTAATTAATTAATTAATTTCATACAGAGGTAAACTAAATACTTATTAGTGAATACTTGGCAACTGTGATGTTATGTATTGGTTTGTCATTGCATGAAGACAACTGCAAACCTAGTTAAGAAATAAAAAGGGAGATGCAGGAGTGGGCTTCTGTCAACCTTTTTTCAGTCTAAGGGAAAGTCAAAGGAGAGGATAGAGCTTGTTACATATGTGGCAAGTTGGGACACATAGCTCAAGATTGTCGAAATCACCTATGTCAAGAAAAGAATGTTAAAGGGGGAATTTTGACCTTCTAAAAAGGAGAGAGGAATGTGAGGGAGTGAAGTTGGAGTTGCTGCCTGTGCTTTGGAAAGGTAAACTGCAGCCGGGCAGAAACACTTCTCACCCCATTTCCCTGACTACTTACCCTGGTGTTTTCAAGGACATGTCGACATCCACAAGCAGCCCCAACCCCCCCAGGATCTTAGCTTAGAAAAGCAAACATTAAGACAGGATGAAGGAGGAGATGTGTGTGTAAGAGGAAACATAACAAGCAAACAGCCTACAGACGGGGAAGCAGAGGCGATGTCTAAAGACTGGCATGCTGAGAGGTGTGTGAGAAGGAGGCTAAGCAGGAACACAGAAGCCACTGGACAAGAGTCTTCAGGTTTGGCTAGCTCTACTCCTAGTATGGGGGTGGGGGGTAGGTTAGGGATACAGAAATCCATAAAGTAAGCAAGGATGAGGACATAGAGGTATTTTTCACTCTGTTTGAATGGGTAGCAGTGTCTAGGATTGATTGATTGATTGATTGATTGATTGATTGATTGTTAAACTTGTATGCCACCCATCTCCCCCAACAGGTGACTCTGGGCGGCTCACAATAAC